ATATTCTTGAGGATGGTTTATTCATTTTATTTTTATTCCCTTCCTTACTAAAATTACTTTCTTATTTGACTTCAATTTCGATCGCCTATTATCCATGTTAGTACTATCATAGGCCTTTCCTTCTTCGCTTTCACCTTTCGTTATCTAAAAAAATAAATCCTCTAGGTTTTCCCAATACACATACAGTTCAATCTTTCCTAATATAGAACCATCTTACGGATAGTAATATGTCAGTTTTTCTCATTGTATGTCAAGTATTTTTGGATTCAAATGTATATAATTTAATTTATAAATTTATATAATTTTTAATTTTTACCTCCCTATTTATTTTCATACCTTAGCACTATCATTTTTTCCCAATTAAATTGATTTTTAATCAATTCTATAGAAGAGGAGTAAATTTTGCCCATACTTGAAGTCATGACTAGTGTTGCCCAAATGCGAGACCGAGACGAGTCTTGGTCTTGCAAACTCAGTCTAAGTCTTGGTCTTGCGCAAGACTCTCATAGCAGTCTTGCAGTTACCTATTAGCTTATTACTAGAGAGATATTACAGTCATTTTTTAGATATGAGAAACCTAACTAAGACTGAATGAAAAATTAGAAGAGTTATATGCAAAAGTATATTGGTTACATCAATTCTTTACAAATAGCAACTAAAATTGTCAAGTATTAGTAACTATTTTGCCTCAATTTTTATTCAGAAAATCGATTCTTTTTACCAGTCTTGGTCTTGGTCTTGCAACAGATAGGCATTTTTGGTCTTGGTCTTGCAAAGTGCCTATCTTGCAAATTCTAAGTAATTCTTTCAAATAACACTATACATGGCGACTTGAACATCCCAAAAGTAAAATCCTACATTCACGGCTGATACACTTCATTTCACTTTTCAATTCTAAATCACTTCAATCCATTAGTCCTTTCTATTTCCTGCTTCCTATTCCCTGATCGACGCAGATTAAAAATAAAATGGCCGAGGGACCTACTACAATAAATACAAAATGAAACTAATCAAGCAAACTCTCAACTAATCCCTAATATATCAAATTTGCTAGGCGCGCTGCAGCGCAGGTGCAAATGGCACAATATGTTAAAAATAAATAAATAAAGATATAAAATAAGTCTAAGTCTTTCACTTACCAAACTTGGTTAGACTTAACCAAGATTCCTTGGGATTCTATTTTTGTTTGTTGAGGTACAATGATATGACTTCATGTTTTTCGATTTAATTTTTTAGCAAAGTCCTAAAGTATTGTGCTTAGAACTTGACTTCAAAATAAGCTATAGAGATTACTATAGATCAATCGAATAATAATTTTGAGTATGTTTATGAACTTTTTTGAATAAATATTATTATTTAAAGTAAAAAAAAAAAACTTTTTCAACTCTTATCAATATTATAAAAAAAACGGAGATCAGTGACACCAAAATTAGGTGAAAAGTGTTCTGGCAGTGCAGTCTATTCAATTTTGCCACAAATGCTATATTTCTCCTGTGCCATTTCTTATTATTAGAGTAGCCCAAAGTAAACGTATTTCCCCTACTATTTTTATTAATGATTTGTTTTTATATTTAAAATAGAGTTATAAAATCACTGAATAATTGTACATAATTTACTGTCAACAATATTATTCCAATATGGTTATTTTTATCTGAATTATCATTTATAAATATATAGGAAGGAATGTTTTTATATTATGCAAAGAATAGAAATTTTTCAGCTTCATTAAACATTTTCTTTGATCTATGTAACGCTCAGCACACCATTTAATTTCAATTTACATGGCTACGATGTTTATCATTTCCTGTATCTTCATTTTCGACAAAAGTAAGCTCAGCAATTATGGTTAATAGGGAATAAACGTGAATAATCACATCCGTACAATATTTCTTTAACGCCGATACTATGGTACTGATTTCATGCTATTTAAAAAAGACAAAAACGCTCCAATATATTGTATATTCGGTTCATTTTCAACACCTTATCGAAGCAGAATCAAGGTTTCAGTATTACGGGTAGGTATGCAACACCTGATCTAGTTTTACTTTAAAACAAATCAGATAACGAGGTTTGTAATTGTTAAAACAACGAATATGGTGTAAATTACAAAAACAAAAGAAAAAAAAAACTATTGCTTTAAATTAAGTTTCCTAAAAGATATTTATAAAAAAGTCGATAAATGTATCATATAAGAAGTGATTTTAAATAACTTCCATTCTTAGAATTCAAGAAATTATGAGGTTTTATATTAAATAAAATAAAAATAGAAAATCAGTCCCCCTGATTTCTGATCCTGTTTTCCAGTTTTTTTTTTGTTTTGTTTTTATCAGGTAAAAGTAATATTAGGCTGTGTTATGAAGGTAAAAAGTAAATAAGTAAGTAAATATAGTAAGTAATATAGTAAGTAAATAAATAATATAGTAAGTAAATAAGTAAGTAATATAGTCTATATTTATCCTACAGAATATTCTAAATAAAAAAATATGAAAATACTTAGTTGATAAGAGAGCACTAATTTTACAACCAAGAAATTTCCGAAACTTCATATCTAATTTAAATTTTCAATAGAGCAAGGCAAAATATAAGTATGCTTAGTTAAAATTTTTTAATACGCGTGGCAGTAAAGATATTCTGTCGTATTTTGATAAAATAAAGAGATTCCAATAATTATATAACAGCCTTATAATTTTAGTTTATTTGTTTATTTTTCTTTAAAGGTATGAAACCCTTGGGTCATCGACGTCTATCCGCTTCGATTCAAGTAAAAAATTATTTATTATAGGAGAGCTTACACTTCTAATATATATATAATTTTGAAGGAGATTGAATATATTTTCGGTTTTTGTTGATCTTGGAAATTATCAGGAGTATCTGTACTATTATTTTTAAGCTGATAATGAGCTTATTCCGTAAGTTTGTGTTTAATTTTAAGATATTGTTAAAATATAAAAAGTTAGTTTGTTTTTTTTAAACTTAAATCTATAAAATAAAAATCTAGTATGGATAATCACAGACGGAATTTTTATTTCGATATACTAATTTCATAGTCCGTGGTACAGACTCCTTTTTATCAAATTGTTAACCTGAAACATAGCGAATAGCTTTATCTCATCGTGGTCTACAAATATTGTACTTACGAAAACCCTAGGAATCGTGGTGTTTTCAATCTGAAGATCGTCAAAATTTGTCCATTCAATTATTTAAAAATACTCGTAAATACACATTTGCTTTCCACTTGGATCGTAAGATAATGTTATCACAAAATCGAGAAAAAATGCGCCCTTCAAAAATATTGGGCCGTTTGGCCTATATATCCTTGTTATTTTGACATGTTGTGGGTGTAGGTCACTCCCAACTGCTCAATAGTTATTAAGGGCACTTTTTTTTAAATATTTTGTACTTCACGTGGAAAGCAAATGGGTATTCACGAGTTCTTATTGCATAATTAAATAGACAAAGTTTGTCGTTCTCCTGATTGAAAACGAGCCAATTTCAATAATTTTCGCAAATAAAATAGTTGTAGGTTATGACGAGATGAAACTATCCACGATGTTTTTTTTTTTTTAATAAAAAGGGATCTGTACCATGGGTACTTATCTATAATAAGTTGAATTTTTTGTTAATGATATTGTTACATAAATGCTACGATATAATTGGAAGACTCCAATCACATAGCCTTGAGTAGCTGAAATACCGGTAAACAACAAACAAATGTTTCGCCCAGTCAGTCATTTTCAGGCTAGAAAAAATAATATTATATGTGTAACTACCACACGTCTCACACTCTAAAAAAGACACATATGATACTAAAATGTAAATTTAAGTAGAAGATCCTAATATGATAATGAAGTTATACAAATATTAACATTAAATATATTTAGCTTTTTTTGTTGTATTCTCATATGTAAAAGAAAATGTTTTTATTCAATTTGAAGTATGTTGATAACAGCAAATAATTAAGAACTATTATCTATTTCCTTTGTATTATATAGTGCTATATAAAATATTTTGAAAATATAAAAACTGGCTTTGAAGTTTTCATATTTTCCTTCTTTTTTTAAAAAATGTATATACAAATATATCCTTTAAGTTGGCAGAATGAAAAATTCAAATTCTAACTTTTTTGAGTGAAGTCATATTAGTAATATTTCTAGTTGGGAAATTTATTTAATCTGTACAGACAGTGATTATATTGATTCCAGAGTAGGTGATTGTAGTATTGACATATAAAACTGTGAATAAAAGTACAAATTTTGCGACTAGAAATATTACTAAAATTAATAATCAATAGTGCTGAAATTGGAATTAATCATTCTGTCAACTGAATGGCTCATATAGTACTTTAAATTGTTTAAATTAATAACTAAAATTGTTTAATATGATCAAAAATGTATACGATTTGAATAATATGTGCAATAATCACATCCAATCCTTCGATATAGATCTTGTTATTTTTGTTGCAAAACAGATGAATAAATATTTCTGTTTTTTTTTTATAGATATCAAAACGCCAATAATTAAATATGATTTTAAGGTCAAAGTTTTTTGATACAGTACACCCTCGAGTTTTCTTTGTACCTATATAAGGCGCGTGTCAGATAATTTACCTGAACACTTCCTTAGTCGATTGGTTACGTTAACTGAGCTTTATATATTAGTAGGAGTATTAACGAGGAGTTCTAAAAATAACACTCACTAATTATTTTTCAATGTACCTATGTATAAGTTTGTAGAATGAACAACATATGCATACTTGGCAGGGAGCATCCAAAATTCAAATTTAACAATCTAAAAACGTATAATTGGGATAAAGTTCGGAAGAACGCACTGACAAACATAACTTGAGTTTTTAATCAGCTACATATGCAGTTGTTTACACAGAAGTAACTTCCAGCAGACGAAGAACAAATGGAACACTATGCAGATATTAAATATGTGTATAATATGACGAACTATTATATGAACTAATATCACTAAACTACAAACACTGTCACCAATACCTTGTTAGGATCCGTTACGAGCTTGGTAGTTGAGCCCATCGGCGTCGTGGCGTGCCCCATCGTGGACGCCTGCTCACCGACTACTGAAGCACGACCGAGTCTCCTCCCCCTTCCACCTGCCTAGCTGGAGGGCCAGGACATGCTCTCCACATTTGCTGTTCTCTACCGAACTGCAGGATATACTTGAAATGAAATATGTCTGGAGGTGTTATACCTAAAAATGGAAACCTCATAACCGAAGTTTGGGTTAGAAAAAATAATTACGAGTTCGAATACCGGTGCACGGTGGTACTTTAACTAATAATTTCTCCACCCTATACCCGGCCCGGAAAAAAAAAAAAAAAAAGTGTATCCTAAAATACAAGGAAGGAGATCAATCAAATAGAAAATGTTTTATACAACATAAAACCAACGATGGTTGAATTGACAATCCAAATGAGATACTTTGGATTAATCCCAAGACTTAGGTGCAGGAGAGGGGCGAAGAGATAATCGCCCCAATAATTCACGCTTCGAAAATTAAAAAAAAAATTAACAAAAACAAATAATCCATATGAATGAATAAAATATGTAGACTTAAAAACAAACGAAAAATTGAAAAGGTCGACTAGATGGTTAGGCTATGTAATTTATTTATTAGTTAGTATGCACGTACCCAGTTCTGTAATAAATATTGTTACAAGGAGATATAAACAGATTTCAAAATAAAAATTATTTTTTTCAATAACATTATTAGAAAATGAAATGTATATCTATAGAGAGTACAACAAAAATAGATTACTCAAAATGTCCCCCTTTTACCTTGACAAAGACATTTAATCTACCTGACCAGTCATCAATACCAGCACTTCTTGAGGAAAGCACTCAACTGCACGGACCAGAGATCGTTTGAGGCTTTCCAAGTTAGGGTGTGCTCTGTGACTTGCCATCCTCTCCAGTTCGGACCAAAGTCGATAATCTAATGGGTTGAGATCAGGGCTTCCTTAGTGCTAATTCGAGGAACAGATGAACTCTGTAATGTTCTTTTGCAGCCACTGCTGAGTTGACCTTGTGAGCTGGGGCGGAATCCTGCTGGAAAACCCAATGACTTCCAGCAAACAGTGTATCATTTAGAGGCTTGACAACAGGTTCCAAAATATCGTCCTGTTAATTTTTAACGGCTGTTTTAACTCCTTTTTCACTAAAATTGAGCTTTGTGGTGCCATAAGAAGCAAACTTCCGAACAAGCCACCACTGAGGAAGAGTAATGACCTATTTCCACTCTTCCAATGACTTCCTGGGCTTCTTAAGAGCTGTGTGTGTACACGCGATCATTTTGGCGATTAAATTTTTCTTCAATTGTAAAAATTTTCTCATCGCTAAAAAAAAATCTTTCGATGAAGACCATTGATGTAATGGTCAAAGAGCACTTTGCATCTATCAACTGTACATTTTTTTTAGAGAAGTGGTTAGCCTTTGTACTGTGATTCTTCGAAATGCACCCAAACTAAGGTCATTTTTTATGATGCGATACATTGATCTGACATAGATTCCCATTTCTCGAGACATGATTTGTTGTGTCCGAATGGGATTTCTTCTGATTCGAGCAGCCACTGCTCTCACTGCATTTGCCGTTCTCACACTGCGGGGACGGCACTGTCGAGGTCTGTCACATACAGGTAGAGTCTCATTATATCTATTTATAGTGCGGTACACGAATATACGGCTAATACCCAAAGGTTTCAAAGTGTTGAAAATCTTTGACCTATATTTTCCAAATTTGTGTAAGGCGATCACAGCTATTCGGCTTTCTTTATCACCCCACTCCATAAAAACTGAGCGATAGAAAAATACAAACTAATTGGGGTTATTATCCTGACATGTAAAGAAAATACCCTGATAGACGTAAGGATTGTCTAAATAATACCCAAGGATGTAAACAAAGTTCAACTTTTGTAACAGTATTTATGGCGGAACTATATCTTACAATTTATGAAATAGCGAGCGTTCGTTACACCACCTCAAACCTTTTCAAACATCAAGAACTTCAGATTTTGTTATATCATTTCATATTGTAATATTTTTTCTTCATACCGAGCCCACCCAAGTAGTTCACGGGACAGTTGCCAATCTTATCCAGATTGATGATTAAAATACATTCAAAATTATTGATTTTTACTTGCGAACATTATAACATTTAGTACTTTAGTTAGGTGCATTAGTTAATATCAGTATTTATATGTCTAGTTGTCTTTGGGAGTGTATATGTAATTTAGTATGTATTTAAAAAAATAAGTTTGTATTAAAATAATTGATGGAATAGGTATAATTTTTCACAATAACTGCAAATAAAATAAATAAGTATATGTAATAGGATAAAAACATTAAAACTTCTCTGAAGTAAAAAAAAAAAAAGAAAATAGAAAAACAAATAAACATAAAAAAAAACAAATGTATGGGAATAAATCAGGCGGTTGGAGTAGGATCTGACCACGTTGTTCCACATCATGCATTATTCGAAAACCTGACACACTCTATAAAAATCTTTGTATCCCACTTAATTCACAGTGGCGAGACTTGTTCATTATATTGTATAATCATATATCAAATTAAAATTCAGATATTTGAATCTCCAAGTATTCGACTACTTAGTTATCATAACTGATTCATCCAGAAAAATAAAATGATCCACAAGAAAAGAAGTAATATGCGGTATTGTCTTTAAAAAAAAAGCAGTAGAGAGGTTATCATTACAATTCTATTGTTTTCTCTTATATCGCGAAAACCTCCGGTGAAAGTAAGATTATTACTTTCTTTATTCTGCAGGAAGATTGTCATTTCTCCTTGGTAATTTCGTTTTTATTATTTTAATGGAGCAATTGACCCTCTTTGTTGTTCCTAGTGGGTGTTTTATTGTCAGTAGTTTTTATTAAGCGGAAAAGCCTTGACTAATAGTAATTACATTTTAATAGGTAAACTTTGAATTTAGGTAAAAGATTTACCTATTCTTCTAAATGAAACATCTCGAAGCATTGTTGTAAAAAATCTTTTACTAAACGAAAATGTTCCCTGCATTGGAGTTTTAGATAACTCCAAGAATTTTAGGAAAGTTTGACCGCAACTTGTGATTGATTATAACTAGCTAACAAGACACTTCACTCGTGAATTAACATTTACACTAGATTTTCTGGTTATAGGTTAATAATTTTTACTAACTGATACAATTGGTTGAATAACAAATATTATGGCAGAGAGCTTAAATCACGTTAAGATCCTTTTTTTTTTTTTTATTCTCTGGTGTACTGAATCCGGGTGACCTCGGTAGTACAAAAGACTAAACTTCCGGTACTTCTTCATTGAATTTATAATGGAGGGCCTCAATTCTTTCTGCAATTACATGGAGCTACTTTACCGAGCTAGAGCCCTTCAAAATCTGTAATTTGAAATAAAATAAATATCACCGAAGCGGGAGGTTAGACATCGGTGCGATATAACACCATCGGTGTGAACCGGATGATTCAATACAATGGAACACAGATATTGGCCATTTCGCTAATATCGGTTCCCAGCAACAGTGAGAACGATTCTTAATTGGGAGGAAGACGGTATCGGAAATTCTCCGATAGTTACAATTACAGAATAGACGTGCACCTTTCGGCCACACCATGCAATAGCGGAGACAAAAAGAAAGTTTCGTTATTTCAGGAGGATTAGTCGATTTTTATGCTTTTTCACTTTAACAAGCCTATTCGAGTATATGCAATAGATAGTAAGGGAAAGTATTGTGACCGTGAAAATGTTTGTGTCCCGTAAAATGATCTGTGTGTCTGTATGTATGCGATCAGACTAGCTCAGAAACTAAAAGTCGTATGAAACTGATATTATGTATTTAAGATAAGTATAGGCGTTGGATGTGACAGCAACGTTATCGTTAAAATCGGCTAACCGGAAGTGGCACTTTATATCAAGGGTTATATACATTTTTACGATTTTCTAAAAATTGGCAGTTACGACTTTGATTAAACTCGGTATATCAATGCATAATTAAGTGGCCATTAATATAATTGAGGTATTATGGCCACTGATATCACTTTACAGGGCTTAAATGTTCAACACGTCTTTCTCTAAAGTACCTTTAATTCAGTTTATTTTAAACAATTAACTATCTCTAATCATTAAGAGTTACGAAACAATGTTAAATATAACTTTTGAATTAATTTGATATTTGAATAATAGAGAAAAAAAGGGAAAATGTTTATTTAGGTCGAAAATGAATTTCCGGAAATGCTAGTCTGAAGGTAAACGTAGAATATATCCACAATATTTCTCCAATTCTTCTTCGGTGCATACTATTTATTTTCAAGTTTATTTATTATTAGCCATTTTACACCAATTTTCATAATTTTGTCAACTTAATGACTACACATCTGATTACTACGTTTCGGCTCGTTGAGCCATTTTCAAGTCTAAAAAATTTTTACAATTTACAATCATATTTAAAACATTACATACTTCAACATATAGAGATTCTTATTATATACCTAAAATACCCATCATGTACCTGTCCTTTTCCACTTATGCGAATTGCATGCGTCTACTCATAATAAAAATTTTTATTTTTGTCATGTCCACCTTTAATTATTTTATAACATTATTATTATTCAATTATTTATTATTAAATGATTTAAATAAGTTAAAATTACCTTATAATGTGTCACCGACATCTCATCCGTCTCATTTCTATTCAGTGACTGGTTATTCTTAAAGGAGTAGGGGAAGACTATTTATTTTAAACATATACAATGATGTTTCTCAATATTATATATGGACTTATTTTAAGTATAAAATAAATATTCTTCCCTACTCCTAAGTTATAATGAAAATTGTATAATTTCCTTAATCAGTAGCTTTTTAAATAGTATTGCTACAGCGCAATACAGAAAATTAAAATGAATGAAACAAAGGCTATCTAGATATGAGAAAGCGAAAAAAAACTGTTGCTTATCAAAAGCTGGAAAATTAATCAAATCGATTAATAAGCGTGTATAATTTTTTGCTAAATATTTAAGCGTAGTCTAAATAATATTTCCAGG